GTGTCAGTTTTTTTTCTTTTGACAGTAATACTCATTGCTCAATTTAAACTGTTTGAGTGGGTCTCTATCTGTATGGATAGGTAAGGCTAATTCGGAGTGATTAGCTCTCTTTCCTTCTATTTAGGAGCTGTTTCTTGTGATAGCTGCAGCGCCTTTTTCGGAGTTGCCACCCTCCTAGGTATACAGTGCGAGTGCTCTAATAAACCGAGTCCCTCGGACGATGCCTACCATCTTCATTGTCATTACTGTATGCTAACAAAGTGCCTTGCCGTGGGAATGTGCAAGGAAGGTACGCGATTGTTCCCTTACCGTCTTTACATATGTTTTAGCGCAATTAATGGCAGCAATTTTATCCCCAACTGAACTCTCAGAACAGCATGTTCATTGTTGTTTTGCCTCAGAAGTCTTTAATTAGTTATTAAATTCGGTTTCCGTTCGTTCAACAAGCTGTTCAATTTGAGAAGTCCCATGAAGACCCCACTTTCTCCAACGTGCAAGACTATCTCAACCTCATGCCACCAGTTACTTCAGCAGTGTGCTCTTATGGAGGGACGAATAATTCGTCAGGTTCGAGGTTGAGTTCAGTCACTGCGGCTACCGTCGAACAGATTGGAAAGGCAGAATCACTAGTTTTCGACGTTCCTCCTCTTGACTTACCCGAGGGCAAACCGATCTTCGCTGTTAGTTGCGTTTGGTCATTGCTTATTTTGGGGACTTTGAAGCAAGTCTCTTCACACACAAATTTTTGATACTTAAATTACGCTTGTGACAGCTTGATGTTTAACTTTCGTTTTTTTCACGATATTTATAGCGTTTTTAACAAGCCTTTGTGTCCCGTGTGATCAAATCACTTCGGCAACCAATAATTTGTCCCGCACTGGTTGTACCACATTGTTCTGGGATTTACAAATGATAGATTTTCATGTCGTTATTTTGAAAACTTTTTTGGATTACTTTTTAATTTTTTGAAATTACCTTCATTTTAGGAGGAAAATGATTGGAGTTCTCTACAAACCAACGTTGAGGAGTCAATTATCAATTTGGTCCTTTGGTCTCAGCAGATCCCTCTTTTCTCTGAATTCTCAGAATCTGACCGATTTACTCTCCTGAGGGCAGGTAATGTATTGCTTTTTTACTGTCTTTTCTTCGACCGCATTGCTTTCTAGGCTGCATCCAGTTGTTATTGGTTCATTTCATCTTCCGGCTGGCAAATTCTCTTTCTGAGTCACATTCACCGACTTCACCATGGTTTTCGAACTCACGTTCACAGAAGAGTTTCAGTAGTACCTCGGTGGCCCCTGTGGAATCTACTGCGGTCCCTCCTACCTCGCCCGACATTCCGGTTCTAGTTGCTGACGCACTTTTTCCCGTCCATTCCGCTCCTGAATACATTCTCTTTAGCCAACAGGCTGAATCCGACTTACGTAACGCCGGTCGCTGGCATGAATCTCGTGTTCTCATGAACATTCTCCCTGTTGATGAAGGTTACCATCCTATCGGCATTACTAGCGTCTCCAACGAGCTGAACGCCCAATGCTTGTCTAGGCGCCGCATTCTGTGTCGCATATTCGATCTTGCCCGCTTATTCAAACGCCTTTGTCTCAGTGTGGAAGCTCTTGGCTGTCTACGCATGGTTATCCTTTTCAACCCTGGTGAGTTTGAATGTCAGTCGCATGTTGATAGGTGGATACCGCAGTTCACGTCGATGTATGCGCGTTGAACTTCGCGCCCGTGATTCACCACCTCAGTTAGGCGATGAGTCACCATTATTGCGTTGTAAGGTCGAGGTCAACGGGGATGTAGAACGATATTTGTGTATGTAGAAGCGCCCTCCGAGTCTGACATATTTCATTAATTGGCCTACATGACAAAAAATAATTTTGAGTATCACCCAACTCGTATCTTTTTACATAATTAAGCTTCTCTGCTTTTTAATCTGGTTGTTCTGACTGACTTCATTGTGTATGCAGACCTACCGGAACTGACTGAGGAGACTCGGGAGCGCGTGGAGAGCAGAAGAGATGAGGCATTTGTTTGCCTCGAACACACTCTCGTACGGGCCGATCAGAAGACCGCTCTCGGCCGTATGGCTCAAATGTGTCTTAATCTGGCTGACCTCTCTTTTGTCGCAGAGGTCATATACTCTAAGACCTCTCCCAATCCGTTCCTCTCTCTTCGTTATCTTGCTTATCTTCTTGAGTGTTTTTACAAATCTGACACTACCACTACAGTTTCAGAACCTAATATCTAAGCTATCTACTTTTCCCATTTGAGTAGATCCTTTGTGGTAGGGCAAGCCTTCATATGCATTTATGTCTGGGAGTCACCTCCAATTTTCAGTCCGAAAGCGGTGGCATTTTATATCCTCCATCGGCTTTGTTTTTGCCCATTCCCTTTGATGACCCCGCATTATGCTTTGACTCTTAAATTGACCTAATTGTACACAACAAAGTGAACGCTATTGGACCTCTTAAATAGTGTCGTTGTTCCATTTTCTGTGCATTTTGCTGTATGTTTTGTGTCTAATGCCTTAAATGGTATTATATTACCTCGTTTTAAAGCCTACATTTGTTCCTCCAAGTATAGTACGGGGTAATGGTCGCATTCTTTGTGCAAACTAATTTATAGGTTAGAATGAGATGGTGGTCGTTCCGTCACGTAGTAGAATTGTGCCTACAGTATTGTCGATAAGCTGACTAAATAGCATGATAGGTGGGGTGCTGTCTGGGAGGGAGCTATTTGATGGGTTGGATACTAGGTAGTACTTGTCATCCATCGTCATCGCTACCAATGTAGCAGGCCATCGTAATACTGACGTCAATTGCTGCTGATTGAGTACTTATTTGCTTTAGAGTTCGTGGGATTAGTTCTTTGGCAGCAATAATTTTTTTCAGGTTGGCTCAGAGCTTATGATCACACTTTTGTTTTTCATCTTGTTTTGCCAAGCGTAAACGCCAGAAAAGTTCAAGAGTCTGGTTGGTACGCTTTGTCTGCGGTGCTACAACGGAACTTATTAAATTTTAGGACAGATACCTTAATTTACACTTCACAATATGCCATCTCTCTGGAGAAGTGAGTGTATGTTAGTTAATGGGGCCACATGCTTTCTGCTGTGTACTCATGAAACTGCGCCCAATGCGAACTATCAGTGCCGTGTGGTATACTGTACAAACTCCAATTAGTGGCAAAGTGCTTTGCAAAATTATAACTTTTGCTATTGACAGTGTTAGCAGTTTGCATTTACCTTGTCGTAAACATCCATCCAACCGTGCTGACCCTTGTTCATCATCAAAGATAAGTTACTGGAGGGCTAACTTGTGACTCAATTCTTTAAATCAAAACATTTCAATTGAATCCTCCATCATCATGATCTATAATGATGCTCTTCAGAGGCATCACGAGATCTATCCGGTCTTAAATCTTAGAACGTTAACGCTTGGGAATTTAGAGAAGTTGTGTTGTTTGCAGAGTGACCACTTTCTTTCCACCAGTTGCTGGCTGTGCGTTGACTTCAATAAAGCTGCGACTTTTCTGACATATTGCTTATGATCAGTTTTCCGTGCTACAAAGGCACATACCCGATTTGACTGGCAAAAAACCAAATCACCGCGTCATCTCGTAGCACTTTTAGTCTCCGCGCGCAGAATATGGCATCTTGAGTATGATTGTTAAACGTGAAATTCGGAGCCAAACCACACCCGCTGAATCGCAATTATATAAAGACTTGAAACCACACCTGAAAACTAATACTTGTGACGACAATGAGCGCTCTCTTCCTTTTCATTTTCGCTTTGGTCCTCACAGCACAGGTCTATCCAACTCCCGCCCATCCTACACTCACCGAAGAGGAGTGGTTAGAAAAAGCAGAGGAACTTGGTGCGTCCTCTGCCCATTTTTTCGTTTCTTTGTCAAATTTCTTGGCTTCGATTATTCATTTAAGAGTCTTTGACAAAATAATTAAAAAAGTGAGCAAATTCACCCGAGTTCCCGACCATTTTGACATCCTTCCCAGTTATTAAAGGCATGATATCAGGTTGGATTTTTTACGGATGATTGTAATGAATGCCAAATATTCTTTCAGATCATGATGGAAATACCTATGGAAAATCGCCCGAGGAAGTTTGTAAGTGTTTGTTTTTTTAAATTAACATCGAGTAAATATATGCAGCCACAGTACAAGTTTTGCCCTTTTAGATGATGTCGAGCATATTCACATGCTACACTAAAGTTTACTTCCCACTCCCTTCGCATTCCTTCAGTGGACTGTATTTGCCTGTCTTAACGATGATAAATCAAGTGTAATTATATCCAAGTCTTTTCGTCTTCCTTGAATCGGTGAATTATCCACTTACACGTCTGGGTTTCGTTTGCGATCACGTTAGATACTTTGAAATGAGAATAGGAAACAACGTTAGATGTTCCTCGTACAGACGTTCAACAAAATCCTCATGCTTTGAATAGCTAAATTGGGAGAGTGGTGTAGATCGCCGGCCCATATTCAAATACCCTGCCAGGAGATAATACGCTGAGACGACGATTCCTGGGCAACATTACCCTCGGTACGACTGGTGTGATCGGTGCTGTTCTACCAAGCGATGTTGCACCACTAGAGATTTTCCATCTGGCAGATGCTATAGACGGCACAATTCTGTTAATAAAATTGTCCAAATGTGCCGACTTTTAGAGCTCGACATAATGGGAAGTTCATTTCAAAGCTGACATTACTATTCTACTTAATTTAGTGGAGGTACCTATCTTTCTTCATCCATCAAGACAAAGCCTTAATAAATTCATATTTTCCTCACTCCTATGAGACTGCGTTTAGGATGAAAAAACAACTAGATTATCCATCGAACTGGGGTCATTTTTATCGACGGCTCATGTGCTTGGTGTAATTATCATATCAAAAGTCTGAGTAGCTAAGTCTTTTCATTCAATTGGAACCAGATCTTGCTCTATGGAGCACTTAATTCCATTGAAAGTGAGCTCCGATGTGCCCTTGTATGCACACACACACACCGTTTTATTTCATTGAGCTATTTTGTAGTCTCTGACCGCACCCTATGACGCAAAGCGAAGAAGCCTACGCCTAGTCCGCACACCTGAATAAAACCAAGAGAGCAGTCAACTGCACTTTGGCAGAGACTTAAGATCGCGGCTGAAGATAAATTTGCGATTTTCAACTTAGTAGTAGTAGTAGTAGTAGTGGTGGTGGTGGTGGTGGTGGTAGTAGTAGTAGTAGTAATAGCAGTAGTAGTCAAGACGTTTAGTCCCACATAGTTGACTTTGCTCGAGCTAAGTGGCAAAGAAGATCTGCACATATTCTTTTTTTGTGTAGCTACAATTTTGACAATCGATGGATAAGGATATCAGAACAGATTATTTAAGTAGGCGACGTAAGATACACCTAGGCATGTTAACTGACACAAAGATTGCAGCGCAACTCTGATTGGTGGGATTTTGCCAGGAAAGACTTTGTAAGAGCACAACCATCTAGAGGACTGAAAAAAATTTAGTGATCACTTGGAACTTCTAAGCGTCAACAAGGAGCATTCTATAGTTGCACGCAGGCCTAGCAGTCCCTCCTTGCAGCAGTTTTTACCAGCATCGGGGATACCCCAGTCCATGTGTGACGTGCAAGTAAGAATTCATGCAGGTGATATCATGAAAGACGATGCGAACTGGAAAAAGTGATGTCAAGCACAGAACCTCGAAAATTACATGGTTGTCAAATATCTGGCAGCCTTCCGCGAAACACATCACTACAGTGGGAGCATTTAGCAAAGCTTGGCACCTGTGCTAGCGTTTTGCTGATTCTATCGGCCCTTGAAACTCAGTAATCTGAACAAGTGGTAAATTACAATGTAACTTGTTAGGGTTGCTTGCAACTGCTTGGGATATGGTAGTGGTGTGGATCTGATAGGTGTTGGTTTTAGCAGTAGTTCCTCCAAATTCAATCTTCCAAATTGGATAAAGCCCAATAAGGTGAAACTGCCTTTACGATAAAATACATTTCGTCGAACTGTATGGAGAACTGGTACTTCCTGTGATCTGATAACCATACGATTTGCAAGGTGGACACAATAATCGCATTGGAAAAGTGTTGAGATGAAGAATGATGGAGCTTCGACATCCATATGTGTTCATTTGGAAGACATTCATCATGCTGAATCATTCATGACGGTTCTGCGCTTTGAAGGCAGAGGGATGGGATTGATAATATCAATACTTTCATCGACGTGTTTTCAGTGGACATATTTGTGCGTCCGTATATGCGGACCTTGAGAGCCGCAGGATCTGTAGTGTTCACTAAGTGTGAGGAGATAGCTGAGTTAACATAAAGTATGAACCTCAATGAACCAAAACTGTTCTATGCTTAAATTTAAGCAACAGTTACAATGTTGGTGCTCCTTCTTGTATTGTTCATGAGAGACCATGGCTTCTGAGCAGTGAGAGCCCGCAAGCTGCAGATGAGAATGTTCGCAATCATTATCAATAATTCAAAGCAGTTCTTCTTGCATTGTTAGCGCAGCTCTCTTCACGATATTCTATCAGTTTTATACAGTTCACAGGATAATACAGGTTGGACGACAAAGCCTGATGCTTACCATCGATGGAGTGGTAGACATTCATTGGCTTATAAATCCTCCAGAGATTGGAGTAAAGTGAAGTACATGTTCAGCAACTGCTGCCAGAGAACCCAAAGAGGAAAAAAATCGCATTCCACCTAAATCGGATAAAACTGCGGAATTGAAATCTACATCATAATTTAATTCCGCAATACTGTCGTCAACAGATGTTGCCGGTCGTCACTTTTGTTCTGCAATAATATCAAATATTTAAGGTTAAATTTGCTCAAGATATTTGCAGAATTTTAAGCATTTCGTTCAGTCATTCTAAGAAGGACAATTATCAATTAAAGGGAAGGGGAAGAGGTTGGACCCCATCGGACCCTCAATTTCACAATCCGGAGGCCAAAACTGAAGACAGCATGTTTCCGCAAGGTTCAGAGATTAACTCTTGGTCGAAATTTGTAGAAAACAGATAAGCAAGGTTTTCAGCATTCACAAACATCGTCAGAGTGATAGCGTAAGTCTCACCATCGTTGTAACAATAAACTACGATATTTTCGGCCACGTGTCAGCAAAGGGGAATGCCAAGACCAGGACAGATGATGGAAGACTGCAAACGCAAGCATCCGATAAATAGATTTGGTTTTCGACGAACGAGAAAATTGTAACCAAATCAAAGTGTGAGAGGGATCAAATGTGCGAAGCCACAAAAAATTAACGTTTTGTTGTAGCCTAAAGATGGAAATTTAACGGCTTTATATGCACAGACAGACTCTATCTACGCCATCAGAAAGTCCTTTGAAGACTGAAAAGCACCAACGAATACATAATTGGTATACTGATTGAAGATATTTTTTGATGCCAGTTAAAACGAATTTTTCACGACGAGTATATAACCGCAATCGAAAGCATGAATCTCCAGTTGCATCCCGGGGGTAGGACTTCTAAAGGTAAAATTAGGCTATTCGCATTAGGCCTGATTGATGCTAAATAATGTCGAAGCAGAAAATTTGCTGACAAAGGGATAGAGGAGATCAAAGTCGAAATTGATCGGTAATTGATGAGACGTCGACACTAAGGTTTGACCAATCTATTTGCAAATCCTTTGCATTGCACCTGTGCCCCACAAAGTGGACTTCGCGGAGTTGATCGTGCCGACGCGTGTTAGAGCTCATCGCTGCCCTCCCATTGGCTGAGCGCCGTGAGATGAGAGGACCTTTCACTGTACACACTTCAGAGGCGCACATCACCTAGCGGAGCATCGTACCAGTACGATGTTGAAGGTCCTGGTTATACTGTCTCTTACTCTTGCCTATCACGTGCCGTCTAGCAGAGCAGGATTCTTCGATTACTACTTGGATTACTTTAATCTGCGAGACAAGTACATCCCCTTCATCAACGATGATATGGATAGTGTCAACCGCTATAAAGGTATGCGATTATTCAACTTAGTCTCACCTCTTCCATGTTATAAGTTTGTTCACCCAGAGATAACGTTCGTGCTAATATTATTGCTTAGCTTCAATGTTGTATAAAGGAGCGTGATCTGCGTTATGCTCCAAATTTCACCTCAAAACCCCATGCTAAAGCACCTATCTTGTTTTAATTTGTTCTTAGAACATCAAAGGGGACTGAGATTCGTAGGGCTGTCATTTAATGCCACTATATTGCTCCTCTCAATTTCACTCATGTGATTGAACCTTTAATCCAACCCTCATTTCTGTTTTGCTGTTATAGAACTGAAAAAGAAAGCTAGAGAGGGACTAGCACTCCACTGTAAGTCTTCATGTTTACACCCCTAGAAATTCTTGTTTACCAAATAACAATCACCAAGCGACTAAAGCATGAAACTAATCTCCTACCATTATCATTTTAGTTGAAAAGCAACGTGAGAAAATGGAAAAGAAATATGAGCTATGAACTCCCACGAGTTAATTTGAATAATTTTCCCCATTTTACTGGTTTCTTCCAGTATCTTTCTTCAAAACCTTTAACCTCTCTTCAAGAACTGCAGCTGTGCAGCATCTGCCAGTCCGACTTGTCCACCACATCAACTTGTACACAGTAAACACATAAAATTTACATTTCCTTAAATAGCTTACGTGGCATAAATGATGAAATTCCTGGGGTCGAAATTCCGCCTACACTGTCAAGTTTGGAAGTATACGATCAACTTCCTGAAACAGGTCCGAAAAGTGCAAAGATGACGGACGACTCCCCGGTTTAGGACTAAACAAGGGTCAGTTGTTGGTATGCAGTAAGTAAGAGAAATGATCAATGCGCGATATAGAGGAGGCACTTCCACTGTTCCAACCTTAAAAACTGATTCAAGTGCAACATGAACAACCAACCACTCCCTCTGGGCGATGATTAAGAAAGACGGAGAAGTGGAGCCAACAAGCCCGACCATCCGCTGCCGTGAGGCGCAGATAGATCTGAAAACAATTCCCCACCGGATACCTTAGAGATACACTGAGACAAGTATTCAAAAATTACCCCTGTAATGCTGACAGGGTAGTGAAGCTCAATCTATGGAGCCACATAAGGCACTCCAGCAGCCAGTAGATGACAACACCACTCCCGGTAGTTATCATAATTAGTCTGTCGCAAGTCACTAGACCGACCAGTTAATTGTCACCCTTAATCTAATAACTAAAAACATGATTTACAAAAAACGACTCCAAGCACGACACCACCTGGACCTCACCAGTTGTCCTTGCCCCCAAAACCCCGTAACTAGCGCGTTATAAGAATTGCGTACGGTAGAAATGCAATGGGTATGCGCTCAACTAAGCGAACCTCACTCACCCAAAAGTCCAATGCATGTGCATGTGCAATGAAGATCCCACCATGCAGCTGAAAAGCAGCCATGCAGAAAAACTAGTCCCATCGAAACACGAAATTCCAAATTCACAAATTAGTGATACGTAAAACTCATTCAAAGCCCTTTTGACATTCTCACCTTCTAATCTACTGATAATTACCCTACGAGCGTTAAACCTCACGCCATTAAATGGGTGAAAATATTGATACGAAATTTTTGACAAACACGGTCGTGCAACAGGCATATGAGAAAACAGTCACACGAATGACTGTGAAAATGGGGGGAAAATAAAAAGGTGTGGACTAATTGAGGTCGATTTCAAGAACATCAGCATCATAGTGACGACGGCAGGCAGAATTGATGGTGAGGCGGAGACGACGGAAGGCAAGACGCCATGCATTTCTACTAGTCCTGTTTTCGAGTCCTACCACCATTCCCTCACCCTCAATAAAGCGCCTCAGAATGAGCAGCAGAGTGCGCACCCGGGCAAGGTCTGTCGGAAGGATAGAGATGAGGTAGTCCGCCAACATGCACAGGTCCTCCTCCAGCGGATCTTCGAGGTGAAAGTAAAGACTAGTCAAACCAGATACCGTGACTCAATTGGTGATGATGATGGTGGTGATTATTATTAACAGGTGACTGCCTCTATCCCACCAAGAGATCTGTTCGGTTCGTATTCAAACGCAAAAACTGTTTCTACATTTAACTAATACCTGCTACTACGAAACTGATAGAAAACGCATCAAAATAATGCTAAGAGCAGATTTCATGACAAATGATGCTGCCAGTTGAAACTATTAAGTCCATAAAATTACATTAACAAGACGAAAGCGTAATAACTTGCATTAAAATCATCCAGGACACACCGCCCTGTTATAAGCGAGTTTCAAATAAATCCCTTTGAAAGTTAGCTTAAGGATTCTAGGCAATGGTAGCCATGGTGAAAAGGACCATGAAAGGAGGAAGCATTCTAGATTTAGGAGGAATGCATACGAATACAGTGATACTTCAAAAGCCAAACGGATTGCGTTTGAAAAGAAGCCTTAAGTAAGTAAAAATCACTAAAAATCTATACATTGAGAAGGTTTTGAGTAGCAAAGAACACCCTCTTGGGCACTTGCTACTGAATTACAAAGATATATCTTGAATAAAACGGAACAGAGCACCCACCCGATTCCGTATTGATCCACGTCACAAAAATGTCTTTCAGTTCGTCCACTGATCTTTTGGCAAACACATTGACCTCCTCGAGCGGTCTGTCTGTTCGATGCGGAAGGAGTCCGCTGGACAACAGCTGTGACACGTTCAACCGCCAATTATGTTGATCGATACAACTTAGGCATATAAATGAGTCACATGACCTACATTATCACCCTCTCGGTGATGCTCCGCAGGAGGCTTTTCTTGACTTTCTAGTTGATCAGTTGGGTGAGAAGGGCTGCTCAACTCCTATGTGTGCAAAAAAAATAACAACTCATTGTACCCAGTTATGTGACATTCAATGCGTCACTCAAAACTAAGAAAAATTGCGTTATTTTGAGCCTTCTTTAGAAATAATACTATATTACCATTTAGATTAGGATGCTCTTATTATTTGTAGAGAACAACGAAGGTTGGGGTAAAGGTCTCTGGCAAAAGTTGAACGCGGTAAACCAATTTCCTTATTCAACTATCCACAATCATAAATCCATTTCGCAAAAAAACCATTAACAGTAGCATGAATAAAACAGTGGCAGTCTTCTCCAACTTACTCATCCACCAAGGGGTGGATGGTGAATGATGCAGTAGGCCTAACTTAGTTCTTCCCTTAAGATTCTTATTCTCATTATGGCTTTATTGGCAGTGATGTAATGACAAGTGTGCCGTATGGATACACATTCACTCTACTATCAAAATAAAAGTAGACTTAGTATTTCAACTAGGCTAATAAAATTAAAGCGGCGCTCAACAAACCTTAGCCAAATCATATTGACGCTACCTGGATGTAGACAGCGTTGCAAAGTATCAGACCTGAATATAACTGTATGGCTTACCGATTGAGACATTTGGTCAAAGTCAACAGAGGGAGTGGACATGGCATCACCAAAATCAGACAGGGAATCCGAGTCTTTGACGTCTTCACTGAGGGTGGATGAACTGTCATCATGGCTACTATGATGAGAGAACAGAAGCAGTTTTCACTCACAATAGTAGTTCCAAGTTGAATCAAAGTTGAATACCTACATGCATTCAGAATTCTGAGGCTTTAGAAATCGTGTAATCGATGATGTTGCTTCCATGGGCGGATCACGTCTTGATGTGTTTCCCTCCAAACATGACTGGTTTTTCAATGGCGAGGAGGGTGAGAGACGCTGCATTTGAAGACCCAGCTAAAATGCCATAAAACTAACACAGTATTACCTTAGACGCTAACCTGATTCTTGATTAGCCAAAGGCATGGTGAATTGTCTTTATTAAAACGCAAATCAATTGTCGGAGAGAGCCTGAGGTACTTAATGTTCCAACGGAACAAGTAGATAGAATGCATCCAAATTTGGGGAATGAGTTCCAAATTCGAGCCCGAACTTCAAATGCCATATCGCGAAAGCAACCCTTCGTTTCGGCTACTGCAAACGCAGTTGAAACAGGGCAAACAAAATTCCTTCCAAAAATTGGAAAACAATCTGTTTAAGCTTAAGGAATAAGAAAACAGATCAACCATGACCCATAACCGCTGGAGACCTGATGACTAAGTAGTATAAACAAAACTGATGTCCGATGGGAAGCAGAAAAATAAACAATTGAGGACAGGGAAGCCAGATATAAGATAGCAATGAACACACTATAGGGTCGGTCCGACCAAAATGTAAAATGTACGCGCGACTGTCGAAACAATGATAACGATAACATTAAAATTGCTCATACCCCACGAATATCGCATGGGTTGGGGTCAAGGCGACGAAGAACCGATAGACAGGCGCTCGCGATAGCCGTGGAAGCCGCAGTGGGTTTAGAAAGCGGAACTACTCTCGAAAAACTATCACATATACCGTGACCTACAAGGAAACAAATAACAGCTAAAGTTTTGGTAATGTAAATAGTTATTAACTGCTTCAACTCGAACAATGTAGTGGGTTATATTTAGATAAAACTTGACGGTCCAATACTTGAATGGGATGATCAGAAGGCCCTACTATCATTGAAACGTCAAGTAGGAAATAAACTGAAGCGGCGAAACGATTTAGTGGACCTGGTTGTGAACACAGTTACATGTGGAGATCGCCTTATTGGTTATCCTAAAAGCCAAACAATAAAACGATGCCAGCTTTCAAAAATAGAAGGAGGAGAAAATACCCACCCAGGAACTTAGCTGACTCCACAGGTTGGTCGGCTTTACGAGTAAGAAGATGCACGGTAAGACTCTTCCCCACCATGCCGAAACCGCTTCTCGACTCTGCTGCCGCGTTGCCCAATCGAGAGGAGAGCTCCTTTGCCAAGTCACTCACAAATTTCTCCACTTCCGACCACTAAGAAGTTGAAGTCATGTTTACCTGAAGTGCAAGTGAAACCTTGGCAAAAGTAGCCGATAAAAAACATTACCGACGATAGACGAACACCGTAGTTTATCTCCGCCGAAATTGATTTGGCGTATCTGTCCAGGGTTAAGTCCGATGAATCCTGGACAATTAAAAAAAGAACAAAATAAAACAGTCAATGTCAAGTTTTAAAAAATCAAGCATATTCTAACTCCCAACTCAAGCAAAAAATAACAGAATTAAAAATGATACCGGCTTCCTATGTCAACAATTATAGTTGGAATGGAAAAATGAAATGGAATGAAAACGATGAAGGCGATTATCCCTTCCAGATTCCAACCTTTCAAGTCTTTTAAATTTATAAAGACATCTAAGGGCTTTCATAGTAGCTCCCGTTGGCCCGCGAGCCTAGAACACAGCACTTTCACAAATAGCGCGTACATTTCCTCGACAGAGTTGCAAAATTCTTTGACCTGTCTTTGCACCCAGCAAAGAGGACAGCTGAGCTTGATTGACTGTCCTCAGAAGTTGTCCACACGTAATGACACCATAGTTCCTTGTGATTCGGATAACCATTTGCCTTCCCACACCTAGATAAAAAAATGAAGTCACAAAACACGACTTATGGAATGATGCTTATAACCATAGTTTACTGAGTAGATAATTTCAGACCCCAGAGGTTGGAACTCTCCCAATATTACCTATTAATTATATTACCCAACCTCTTAAGACGTTAACAATATGAAACACTTTTGAAGTTGTTTCGCTTTCAATTTCACTGCGAGCAGTTCAGTTCACAGTGAAGTTCCTCCAAGCGAACAATGATCCTCGTGCATATAATGAAGGTATTAGCTACCCATTCCTGAATGGTCTCGCATTAGCTTTGGTAATCATTTCGATTTTGATGTCCGTCTAGCGCTAATACAGGGACAGGAGTGTCTCCAGAGTAAACTTCGAAGATTGACACAACAGCGGTAATCTATATGTACATACTAGAGAAATCATGCTGGGAGGCGTTAATAAACTGGGCGGAGTGAAGGTAGGACCCGACAGAGAATGGATATGAAACATTAATTAACTCTAAGGAGTTGCTCACTATCGCCTACCCTACTAATGATTACTGCCAAACTACCTTAATGAAAGCAGTTGATAATCTATAGGTAAACTAAACGATTCAGTCTCTGGGATCACTAAAGACAAGGGATCTCCTCAATGCAATTTACAAAGAAGACAGACGAAATCACTGGAATGGATAACGAATGAGTTGCAACTTATTCTGCCTAACGGTGGAGTTCAAATAACGAGCATATTCTGAGCATCCGGAGCAAATGGGATTACCACCAACAACCAAGTTGGAGAACAACAACTGAGCATGTCTTCGACACTAGTGACGTCGTCTCCCACCCCGTCAAATCTACTTGCCTTAAAGTGTCAGGATAGACTTGGAAGCCGCAAAACCGATACATTGAGCTGCTCAACATTATTTTTAAACTAACAAATGAGTGCATACCAGGTAGTTGAGAAAGAGGTAGTTCATCCAGATAACTACACCCTTCCCGACTGGCGAGTTCACAGATGCTCGGAGCCAGCGACGACGACGAGGACCCCGATGAGTAGCGGCACTGCCAGGAAGGGTCAAGGAGGAGAGCCTGGCCATCGGGTTTAGCACGCTTCGTGGCGAGACGGGCAAGTAGGCGGTTTGTACCGAATCCGCAGGTTGCGGTGCAATGCGTCGTTTCGTGCACGTGCCTTCGCAGAAGCGCTCCAAGAATCAGTGGACTGGTCATACGTATTTCCACTCCATCCTTTCTCACGCCAAGCAATTCTGTCACGTCTACATACATCTCATCGCAACTGATTGCCTCGATCTGCAAGCAGAATCTGCAAGGACATTTTAGCAGAAAAGTTTTCAAAGGAATTAGATTCTTAGATTGGATGTACCGACAGGTAACAAAAAAGCGTATGAGCTTGTGTTTTGTATGAAAAAACGTCCCAGTAAGGAGAGGAAATTGATAATGCGGAAAAACAAATCAATTGACAAGGAAGTATTTCTTTCATGCATAAAAAACATGGTACGATAGGCCATTGATCATATAACACCGAGCAGAATATTCAGTTAAAACGCCTTGAGTTTTACTTCCAATTTGGGTTAAATTGCTCAAATCACCCAGATGTAAAAGAGGACATACAAGTAGTAGCCACAAATTCAATTACACTTGTGTATCGGCACCGATGTATTCACGTGCACACAAATACTGTTCTACAAATACAATTGCCACAAGAAACAGTTGCTCGCAAAAGAATCCTGACCACTAGGAAGGACGAAAGGCAACTTACCTGGAAACTGTCTTATAGAGATCTTCGGCAACGCGATAGAAAGAGTCGAATTCATAGGGAACGGTTCTCAAATCGGGGCAGAGCTTACGGGCCTCGCCAAGGTGCATTCCGTTGGTGACACCGAACTACAAGTGGCGAGTCGAGGATGCTAAGTTTGCATTGCCAGAAGAACGAAATTGTGGCATATAAAGAATTTCGAAAATTACCCTTCTGGCCTCATATGAGCACGAGGCCACCTCTGAAAGGGAACTAAAGGAGCCGAAAAGGAGCTGTTAGTAAGTCTAAATAAAAGGCATCAAAACAAATAAACAGACTTACGATTCAACTCTCGTGCCTTTACTGTGAGTTACCGCAACGGGGAGACCTAGTACAAAAAACAAGACAAAATCCTCAATGAGAGGAACGCAAAATGAATAGCTCTAAACAAGAACTTGGAGCGAGAAAATAATTGAAAACAATCAATCAGGACTGGCGAATGGAAGGCGAATTGTAACAGCACCACCGCCGGTAAGTTCGAGACTCAAAACCAGTACCAAGGTTAGTTAAAAAACTGTTTACCAGTAATGAAGTGACACATGTAGCCAAGAGTCGGTGCATGGTTCAAAACGTAGGTGTCAATTGCCAAATCACTATTTTAAAATTTTAGTACTATATTTTTCACATTACGTTAAGGCTAGCGACTATCGAGAGTAAAGTTATCACTGCACATTAACTCAAAATACTAAGTTAACCGATCTTACAATCCAAGGCTGGTTTCTCCCAAGATGGGAACTAGTAATGATAACGAGGAAACTACGAGAAACAATGCCTAGGAAGCTGAAACATCTAAATTCTGCATAGTATACCTACCGACGAGTTCAGGTCGGTTTCTCAGACAGACAGACACGAAGAAGCAATCCATGTCAATGTGCATGAGGAAACGAGGAGATGGAGGATGTGTAGCCGCACTAGGTGAACCGACGGGTTGCAACACCAACTCCGTCGGCTCGTCTGCGCCCTGAAGGCGATGTACTTCCGCACGCAACAACTCTGCACCGTCTTCACCATTTCCCTCCTGCGCCTGCAGGCGCAGAGAACGCACAAGGTGACGCAAATCCGCCGCCCACTTTGAGAGGTGATGGAGACGTGAGCGCGAGTAGTACTGCCGGATGTAGTCGTCGCTTGTGGTTGGCGCCACAGTTTCCCCCATCTCGGTCACCTGCGTGAGAAAGAGTCCAAAAAGCGCCTAAAACTGATGAATTTGACAATTCCTTCCTGCGCTTGCCACCAACACCACATGAGTGACCCCACGGTTTTCTTGTCTGAGATGGATAGGCAGCATGACAAAATAAAAAAAAAAGAGAAGTGACAGCCCATCAAATTAAAATACAAATACCTAATGCATGTGAATTGTCGACTCAACTAAACACCTTACGGTAAAGGTCCATAAAGGCAGACGGACGAGCACGAATAAGACGGAAGGGAAATTCATGAACAAACGTGTTTTGGGGGTGAAAGCAAAAAAGAATCTGAGTGTAACTCAAAAACTGATGAAGAGGACTTAACCGTCTGGTCATAGACCCCTGATAATGAAACTTGAACAAAATAGACCAATCAAATCCAGGATGACTAAGCCTTGCACTCTTGGATTAGGTGTCATTATACGCGGGATTAATCCAAACAGAGACTGAGACGACGTGGTGAGTTTGGGTGCCACATTTCATTAGTTCGCCAACGTGCGTGCTTGTCATGGGAGCGATGTACATACAGGTCAAGCAACAGATATGGATTAGGACACAGAAAAAAAGCGAGGCTCGCGTTGTGGGCAAGATTACTGACAAATGCTAAGGGACATCGCTCGCCATGCATAGATAAAAAAGAACAAGGAGAAAGTCTAAAAATGAAGAAAAGTACTGACCTCAACACTCGTAGAGAAGTCGGAGATAGCCTTAGATTCAAACTGGTGGTCTAGCGCATCCTGTATAACAAAGTGACGAGAACTAAATAACATCCCAGCACCAGGACTAACTGATCCGTTGAAGGGAAGAATAAGCTAGTATCAAAATGCACCGCAACCACAAAAACTTACACCCGGCACAAGGATCTATGGTAATAAAAAAACTCCGTTACCGAACTCGAGTCATCAGAATTGGCAGATAGGATAGCAGGGGAATCATTTTGGGCCGCGGGGATATCGCAACTGGCATGTTCGGCATTTTTACTGATCCCGGAAACCTCACCAAGTATTTCCAACGATCTGGAGGAATACAAAGGAGTTAGCTGGACTGACCCATAAATAAAAGTAGTGTGAGGTTATGGCTTACACATCCAATGAAACCGGCTGTTCAGCAATTGTTTCCGCCACTTCGAAAGGGACAAAGAAATTCGTTAAATCGCAAAAAGAGACTCGAGTAACAAACACCAGACGCACAGGTAATAAGTTACATAGTTCCATCCTTAAAAGCGGAAAAGCGAATTTACATGAATGCGACGGTGTCTCTTTGACTCCGGGAAGGGTACTTTGCCCTCTCGATTCCACTTCAGAGGGGCAGAGCGCAAACTTTTTCCATGACAACAGTCGACCAGCAGCAATGCTAGAATTTGAACACGGCAATTAAATGGCCCCAGTAACTGGAGCACATCGTTAGACGAAATCAGGGCGAATGTGTATCAATTAATATGAACTACCCAAACACTACCAAAAGAATCCATCAAACAACTTAATTCAGGTGCCGAACCTTTCAGTAATCCAAGACGCTTTGACCACCTTTCGACTACCAATCTTCCTGATCTTGCTCAGAGGCAGATTCGCAGCGACCATAAAATCACCGGCAGACTGGGAATAGTATTGTACAAATGTTCCCCCATTTTCTTGAACTAATCGCCTGATTTCCAAAGCCGGTGGCTCTAAATAACGTAAGAGATAAGCAACAAAATATTACCCGTGTATCCATTTACATACACACGAACCCCCGAGAAGATCGAAGTCTTCTTATTCTCCTCGGCGAATTGTGTTTCTAGTTTACGAATCTTAGCATTCACATAATCCCTCTGTACCGGTTAAGAATTACCTCTGCCTACCTGATCTTCCCAACCTGTGCTTACGCCATCCAGGTTGCCCTTGGCAGTACGTCTAGTTCGACGCATTCCGAACTAAAAAAGCGTAAAAAAAGCATTTAATGGAACCAAACTGATAAACAGCGGAAAGAACATCAGAGAGTGAATCGAAAGAAATACTTGAATGTAACAGAGGTGGAGTAAATTGGGAGGCTATTTCCACAATACGAAATCGATCCCAACAGCAAAGCGGAAAGTAAATGCATTCCATGAGAACTTTTTGAAATTGCCAGGTCACAACAACACCAACTCTGAGATCGCTCAACAGACTAAGTTCCCAATGTCCATTACATTAATGCGAACTCGAAAAAGAGATGCTTTTGTTAAATGACATAGCAACGAATTTTCACAAAAACAAGCATTTGAACGATATTTTGAACTCAAATTTCAAGCAAGACAATGCTGAGATAATGTCTTATTTGCACCAGGTCAGAGATAAAGCTACCCCGTATGAGTGAGGATAAATCAAACAAAACAGTTAGCACAGCAACAAGCCAACCCTAAAAGAGACCCCAAAATTGCGGAAGTATGATAGCCTGAGATCTCATCCGCGTAGGATGGAGATCTCCAGATTACATGTCATAAAGACCACACTCACCCACACCTACAGTATCCTGCGCAGAACAAGATCCCCAATACCCAATACAAATACTGATCACTAAATGCGACCTCGCAATTCACAACTTAAAACAAACCTCAGAAAAGTTGTACGGATTAAGAGTAAAATATTTAAATTGAACTCACATCTGGCAATGGCAGTGCGTCTTCGACGGTTACAGCACATGTACTTCTTGCTTAATGATGGTAAGAACATTACTCCTACGTATTTTGTCTTAAGTTAAAGCATGTAAAAATGGTTAGACAAAGCGATTGCTGAGGTCTCGGAGGTTCATATGTAAAATCGTTGGTAGTCTATTATTTCTTCGACGTTTTAGAGGCCTATTTGTCTTTAAATCTGGCAAGGTAATACCTTGGCAAGTCGCCAATATTTGCGTATTGAGGTTCTTGTTCAACAAGGTCTTATTAGCGAGTGATAAATCAAGGTTCTGGATGGAACATCTGCTTTTAAGCCTTAATTTCAGCTTAAGTCTGTGATGCTTTAGTTAACTAACATTATCTTCATTAATATTGGCCACTCATCGTTTGGCTTCTGAACTTTACCGTTTGTGTACATGAGTGGCCTCCACGCCAACTTCTGGGCCGAAGCTTTTTACACATTGGTTGGTCTAAGCCTGTAAGCGGGCTTTTCATAACCCTTTGGGAGGATGGTACATACCTTTATTTCTTCGTTTGATGATCTGTTGAAATGGAAACCGAGTATGCAAGCGCGCGACCAACCGCCTCGCCTCCTAAGCAATGATGGAGTCGTGAATGGTACTGGCTAGACTTAAATGAAGCCTATATTTGCAGAACTTGGCACGTTCAAGCGGCCGGCCAGAACACCCTTAGTGATATTTTGTCACGATATGGCCGGTGGGTATCACGATTATGACGTTTCCATAGGAAAAATACATGCCTTTCCAACCTATCGCTTCATTCACTGGAATTTGGTCGATATATTCGTATACTTTAGTCATCATTTTGTCACGATACCACCAATCTCATGGATAGGTGTTGCTCATCGGTGAGCAGGTTTTACTTCTTGCATTATTTTCGTTGCGGCAGTTGAGTTATTTGGAATACTTTTAGGAATGGCGTTCGTGTCTATGGTACTGTGATAATAGAGCTTGACAGAAGGAATCCATGTCCGGCTTTTAACGCGATTTTTGACATCAATGCCAAGGAGTGCTGTATCAGTCATCCATCCCAATTCGCTCAAAAATTGGAAGCCGTGCGTCAGCACTGCGGTTTCGAAGGTTGGCTGATTAATTTTGAGAATCGTTTTTTTGATGTGGGTTTTTTATTCTTTCTCAAAGATTTACGTAGACAGCAGAGAGGAGGATTTTCCAGAGGGTTCTTCACTTTTTACGATGTCTAAAAAACTTGGGGTCAGAGGTTATATGGTAATGCTGTTTTCAAGGCGTTATTTTCGTAGGTACGACGCTGTCACAAAAAACGGAATGCTTGATTGGCAAAATGCATTGAGCTCCGAAAATATCCATTTCTTTCGCTCCTGCTTTGACGGCATTTTCCTTAACTACGTATGGACACCAGAGCTCCTTGCATCCACCCAGAATCTGTATGCTTGCTCGAGTGTGGCTGGCTGATCAAGTTCTCCATTTTTTTTCTTAGATAGAACCTTGTCGAACCGGTTTTGGGATTTTAATTTTTTTGTGAATCTCTGGGCGCAATGTTTTTAGTTGAGAACCAAACGGCTGGAGTGTATGATGCACTTTTTTCTTCCAACCTAGGGCGCTGAGCGCCGATGAATCCATGCGGATTTTCGTCGGAGTTGATTGTTTCGGTCGAGGATGTCCTGGAGGTGGTGGATTTGGCACGAAAAATGCTTTGGAACTCATCATCAAAGCATCTGCAAGTCCTTTAATCCTTGCTATTGCAAAAGTCTACATTGGACCAGCTCACTGAAGCACTTCCAATGCTTACAGGAGCTGCGATCTGACCGCCCTTTATCCGTGGCCCTATTTGCTCCGGCTTGGTCTTTTGAGAAGAGGAGAGAGTTAGCTCCTTTTTCAGACAATGGAGACCCTGTTTACGAAATCAGTAGCATATACCAACTCGATTACAACTTCTGGAGCCCTATTATGCCACTACTATCGCGAATTCGAGCCGCTGGCTCTTCGAGTCGGCATTTCTACCGTCCATTGAGCCCATGGAATGGTCTTTTATATAGTAACTTCTCCTTGGGGTTGGGATTATTCGACGAAAACTCCAATACTTTTAGTCCGTGGAGTCGTTTGGTTGATCAGCAGGTGGGTTGTATGTTACCTGCCAATAAGAACCTATCTTTCATAGGTCCTGCCCACATGCCGAGTGCTTTTCAATGAACCGAGTGGAACTGGAAAGGATTTCACTCTTAAGGTTTGTCATTTTCATTTCGCTCCTGACGATGAATTTTGCGGTTACGGTCATACTTTCTTGCCACCTCCCGGCATTCTTCGTAAGCTACTTTATAACAATGGGACTTGTAACCGAACCTTATACTGGTAGAGCCCTCAAAGAAAAGTAGGTCATTTGACATTCACAGTCACTAGATCCTATTTGTTAGTGTTTCAAATACTGTTTCATGGCCCACATAAACGCATACAATTTGCTCAACTTTTTTATTCTCGAATGCGTTTCATAGTAATTTCGTTCAAATCCTAATTTCACAGGTGATACCTGATTTTACGGATTATTATTCTCCTGGTAGTAGTCTGCGTCTCCATATCGTCCCACTCAGTGATGTGAAGAAAGATCTAGTTCTTGAACTCTTTTTGTTCCCAAATCTTTCGCTTTCTCCTATCGCAACGCTAACAATAGTTATGAAAATCGAAACCAGTCGAAGCTTTGTGAAGGTGTTTGCTGATCTTTGCACTATTTCTTGGGATCGTATCTATGTCGCCGAAGAATATCCCGTTACGAGTCGACAATATTTGGAGTCTGAAGGTGAGTCAGTTGGTACCTCCCACGAATTCATTGCGATTCATATTGCCAGAGTATGGCTTGGGCTTGCTGGTTTCGGGTGTCTAGCTGCTTCCTTCAGCTGCTAGATTTGGAAATCAGCAATATAGATCGGTAAGTGGTGGACGACAGTGAGCCTCTGCCTGTTAGAGTGCCGCACACATGCGCTCCATATATCTTATACTGTTTATAATTTCATTCCCATAACCGCACATCAAAGTCTGGAGTATTATTAAAATTAATCCTTACGCCGAGTTGGTGAAGTTTGTACAATGGATTAAATTCATATTTACACTATTCCTCTGAAATCATCATGCTCATCCAAGTTACTGTTTCAGCATGTAGGCCTGCATCCCTGTGTCGTAAGGTCGATTGCTGGTTCTCACTACTTTGCATTTCAGACTGCACCAGTGGGAATCAGCAAAATGCATTGGGGAATTTTGACACATGCGTTAATCCGCATGTCCGATTGATTTCCTACATTAAGTTTTGACTTCTAAAAAACTAGCTCATATGTCCATATCTTAGGAGATTTAGGAAGTCTTGCGTGCGACATCGGGAGTCATGTGCCTCATGGTGTCGTGCCAACGGCGATTTTCTATATCTGGAATTGCATTAAACTGCGATGGAAGTGCGTCGTCATGTTCATTCCACGTGACGGAAATTGGGGATGTTTATGTATTCGAGTGCAAGGTCAACGTCCATTTTCAAAGCTCCAGCTGTTTTTTTCTTGAATGCTTCCTTTGTTGATCCATTGGTGAATGTGGCCCTATAGCTCAACTAATTACTACCTGAGGTTGGAGCTACTTTGTGTATAATTTTCCCTTATCAGTTTAAGAATAAAACGGTGAAGTTTTGATTCCTAAGCTCCGTCAACTTTAAATCATGCTCTGCCGTGGTCAGGGAGCACGATGAAGGTGGCCTCTAAGCTCGATCTACCCTTGAATTTTCCCCTTTACCACTCACCGCCTCTTGAACTCCTCCTTGAATTCTTCCTTACGTGAGGCTGATTACTGGTGTATCAAATCTGAGATTAAATTTTGGCGACCATATGTGAGGATCATCAATATAATTTTGGCAATAAGTTGACACCCACTCATTCGCGAGTGCGATTATCTTCCCAACGCAAAATATCTCACTCTAAAGTGGTTCCTATTGCACAAACTTCTCTATGCGCGGTTAGTTCGTGTTTGGATGCTATCATTGCGTTTGGGGACGCAAATTTGTCTTTTGTCTTGTCTGTTGCTGACTGCTAAAGCATGTTTGAGGAAGATTCGTATGGAATGGGATTCCCATTATTTTGTTTTTACTATTTCTGCCTATCCAAGGCACTGTGTCTTAAAACATCGTCATAAAGGGCTTGGATTAAGTGTCCTTAAAAGAGCCTAAGTTACAATTTTCCCCTGGGCGCATTTCTACACTGCGTCTTTGTTGTTAAGCTCTACCCCGAAAGTGCCTCATATCCATCGAAGTGGAGGTCTCTATTCATTTGGCCATAATGTTTGATGCGGTTTGGGATATCCCATATAATTTCCGGCTTCTATAATGTCACTGTGGTTTGGCACTAATTTCAAACGGTTTCATCGTTTTATCGAAGTCTGATAGAGAAGTGCGATAAACATGTCAGTGAAAGTCTGATTGGATGAGCTGCTTTTGAAGAAACCAAATAGTGAAAGTCCAGTTGTTGCTTTTTAACCGTTGAGGTTCCTGAGAAACGGCAAATAATTACCAAGTTGCGATGTCTAAATGCGACTTTGAACGGCTTCAGTTGGAAATTTGAGAAAAGTGCGTGTTTCCCGTCATGTGTTCACCTACTTGTCAAATTGTTTCCTATACTTTCTGTGACGACGTATATTTCTAGTGTTTGTCATCGGCTCCCAAATTCTGCTGATTAGTTTCTTGCTGAGCACTACCTGTTTTACACTGTTTTTATTATTATCTATGAGTTGTTTTTAACTCCAGCCTTGGTATAGGTCGACTAGTCTCGTCGTGTCATTAAACTGCAATAGAGAGTCTGTTGTAGTCAGTACGCACGACGGAAATAGTGAGAGTGCTTATGAGAGGAAACATTTCAGGTGAAGGCTCCCTCTAAAGGCGCACTCTAACATCACTAAATTTTCGCACAAGGCGCTATTGTATTTTTGCAGGTTGAAGTGCGTGTTCACTTTCTGTTCTGAATGACAAGTGATGTGTACTCCATTATTCTGTGCTTAATACTTTGATGCCATACTGCCTGAACTGGAAATATTGTTAATTGCAAAATATGGCGTTTTTAGAAATACAAAAATACAACTTCAAGGGTTCTTTATGGAAGTGTTTGTCGGCTAATGTTGGAACTCAATTGTTGCCATTCTGCGATCAGGATCATGTGACCTTTGTTAGGCGGATTGGACTTGAAATTGATGACCCTCCAGACACATTTCTGCTCGGCGGTTTTATATTGTCTGACTCTCAGCTCTCTCTTCTGTGATTCCACATTCTTTCAATAAATATAACGATCTTTTCCACACTTTCCTTAGTCTCGATTGTTATTGTGCCAATATGGTGACCGAGGTGGATTCTTGTCTGCTCATGGCACCTAGTTTTAACTGAGTGGGGTCTGTGTGCGTTTGTCTATTCGCTGATAGTCTAAGTCCGTCATTAGCAGTAACGGCGGCTATGATCGCCCTTCAGATTCTCTCTTTCGCCAGCTGTCGTTTTGCCTGGTTTCCCGTTGTGGCTAGCCGAGACATGCGTTGCCTTTCATCTCTCCATCATGGCGATCGCTTCCCGCCTCACTTGCAGTCGGTGGGCCTCGCAGCCAACCAGCTGCTGATGCACGTTCCTCGTCTGCCGCAGAAGTTGCGTCGTGGTGAAGGCGTGGGCGGCGGGCCTACAGGACGCATCTCTTGGCTCCGTCGCTGTGTCAGTGCCCTCGTTGACGAGGAGCGCATCGAGCTTCCCTGGCCCGTCGCTCTGGAGACACGGCAATACACTGAACGTCTTATTCAGGAGGCCGTGCGTACCGAACTTGCTACCCCTGATTTGTCCCAATTTTCGTCTCTGGAGGATCTGTTTCACTCACCCTGGAACACTTATCCTGAGCTTTCTGCTCTTCTAGAGTTGTCTGCATTCTGGCTTCAGAAACCGGAACTTGTAACCAAACTACTCAAGGTGGGTTAATTTCACCAACTCCCCGAGGTTTAGTATCAGTATTTCCCGATTGCTTCCAATCCAGTTGTCTCTTTTTTGTTACCAGGTGCTCGTTCCGCGTTACCGATTTTACAACCGATCATATACACGCATATTTCGTCTACAGCGCCCACCATACCCGAACCCACACGCTTTTATTGCGCAGGGGTTCGGAGTACTTGAGCTTCATGGAAACCCCTGGCCGCCCATCGGAAAGCCACACTTACCGAAGCAAGTTGTAGAACAAGTTGGGTCGTCATTTTCTCTGGAACCCTTCAAAAACAAGTACTTCATCAATGTACTGGTCTCAGCCGCTCGTGACGCTAGTCAGAAAATCAAGTCTCAGTAACCTTGCCAGTTTCTTTTCAAATATAAAACTTTTGTACAGTCTTCAGTGTTGTCCGTTGCTGCCTCTCGTAATGGCTTTTTTATATCATAGACGCATGTGTGCATTTTGAAGCAAATTTAAGCGGGTAAAAGTCGTGTCGGAGGTGGGAGGAGAAGAGAATGTCTCATCTTAGCGTCCAATTCTCTACAAGTTGAGGAAGCCATGGAGTATCTAGATTTTGGATTTATCTTTTTGGGATGTGGATAAATTCTCTATTTTATGCAGAAGTGTTTAATCCCTTTTAATCTATGTGTTTTGTGTCAACTGATGTCCATATGTAGCCCGCTTTAAAGAAATTTTTATAATTTCCAATTTCTCAAATTTTGTACACAGGAAGCTAGTGGATGGGCTTTGTTAATGCTTCCCATTGCTGTACTCGAACCTTGTGTTAACGAAGTGGGTAAGGATCGTATTGGATAAAAATAATGGTTGAAGGTCTTGTGCACCCGGGCACAGGGATTTATAACTCAAGTAGCGTTTTTAAGGCGGAGCGTTGCCGCGTCCGCCCGACAAAAGTACAAGTAGGATGTGGCTACTTTTGCTTAGTGATACTAAATTCGAAAAATGAGTTAGGGGTTTTTTATGCCACAGATCCCGAGCCTAATGCTGCTATCGCGCAGGGTGACTTGTCAGTGTTCAGTTGTCTCGCAGCATCGCCCACCCTCTTCCACATCAATCGCCGCCACACACTACTCAGCTCTAAACTTATTCGGTGAGATTTAATTTTGAGTTGAGCCTTCTTCGAACGATGCATTTGGCCTTACTACAGAACCATGTAATTTGCAGAAACTCAGAAAACCTACCAGCCTAGCGTTGTTGAAGACCCAAAAGTGTGTGCACCACTGTGGAGAGCGGCGATGGAATCAAGAAAGTCTTCAAACATCAACGTATGTACGCTTGCAGTCGAATAGGTTTAACTCGGCTGTATGTTCCTTTTAGCGGAAGAAGTTTAGCATGATCCTACCCCCTCCTAATATCACTGGAGACCTTCATCTTGGCCACGCCCTGACCGTTTCCATTCAAGATGCCATTTGTCGATGGTATGTTCATGTCAACTTTGAAATCTATGCTTCTTGTAGAATTGGTTGCGCCCTGACCACTGGCTAGCTACCCTTAATACATTGCTTCGAGTGTCGGAATAATTGTAACTTGTTCAGCGGATTATCAGAAGTTGCTTGTATTTATGATCGCAAATGCGATTTTGTTTAATGTGTCTTCAATAAAGGTATGGTTTTCGAATGCGTAGATGGTATCTTTACAGGCTTAATTTCTCTGAATGACATTTTCTCCTTAAGGCAATTTATGCAGGGAAGAGACGTAGCTTGGATACCGGGATTAGACCATGCGGGTCTAGCGACCGAGATGACGGTCGAACGCTACCTTGAGAGGCACATGAAAGCGTCGGGTTCCTCCAATTTGCGTCGTAGTCTCGGTCGAGAGGCCTTTATCAAGGAGATTTGGCGCTGGAAAGAGTCGTAAGCTCAACCCACCTACTCTTCTCTTCGTCCAAGGACTTTTCTTAATCTTCCCCTTAAGAGCAGTTTTAGATTCATCTTTTCTAACTGATGCTTTTTCCTCCTCTGATGTAGTTAATAGTGAGGTTGTCAGACTTTGGGAACTTTCGTAACGTAAGATGACGGCGTCCCATAAGAATTAACAATGATGTGTTGTATACACTTTTGTTCCTAATTTCTGGATGCCTTTCAGAAGCGAGACTTCTGTCAGCTAAATGACAACTACGCTTGTTGTTTTCATGTCACTTCATTAATTACCATCAGCTTATGTTTCTACCATCTTAATAATGTAACCTTGTCCAAGACATTTGCTATTTTAAGGAAAACTTTTACGCCCATAATCATTTAATACGGAGATGGCATTTTCTACATTGGTCACCCCATTCAGTCTATCCACATGTGCACCAGGAATTTCCTCAAATTTTAGCAAGAAAAGCTCAATATTGAATCAATTGAACCGACTGGGTCTCTTACTGGATTGGAGCGCGGAATACTTCACTTTTAGTCCTGTAAGCTATTACCAGTTTCGACACGAACTAAGATATTCCCTTCTTGTAGGAACACAATAAGGCTGTGAATGAAGCCCTTTTTCGCCTCAGTGAAGCTGGTCTTCTTTACCGTACCAAAAGTCTTATATCCTGGTGCTGTCATCTCCAATCAGCCATCTCTGATATCGAGGTGCCTCTTCTGCTTCCCTGGTTATCACGTAGGCCAATGCGTATCAGTACTGAGCTTCATCAATTACAAACATGCTCCTTTTCAATGATAACTTACACGACGCCTTTCCAGAACTTCCAACGTTGCATTTTTAATGGAGTTTTCACTGATTTGTCCTCTTCAGGTCGAACATAAAGAAATTACAAAGTTCACAGTGCTGCCCGTTCCTGGATATGCAAAGAAGCAGGCCTTTGGATACGTCGACGTTTTTGACTACAAATTAACTGACGGGTGTGGAAAGTTGCTAATTTTACAGACGAATTGTATTAAAGTCTTCCAATTTTCCCACACAGCTCCTTGCAATACAAAAGGCACTGGAGTTACTGTTGTCCTTTTTACTATTCAGATTGACCAGGGTTCCAGTTGCCACCACACGCCTCGAAACAATGCTAGGTGATACCGCTTTGGCTGTTCACCCAAATGATACTAGATATGCCCACCTCATCGGTAAATTTGCGGAACATCCCTTCATAAAGAATCGGGTAATTCCTATCATTGCTGACGCCAAGCACGTAGACCCCAATCAGGGCACGGGTGAGGATATTTAACTTTTCCGTAGCATCTCACTAATGGTGTTTGACTTTATCCTCTCTTATCCAGCATTAGTAGGTCACTTTTCTTTGCTCCACACACATTTATGTCCAGCTTGTGTGCTACTCCTTAGTTGAAACCCCCTAACTTAACGCATATTGGTATTCAAGTTGTGGTATCTCAACATTGAGACATCGAAATAGTTTTTTTTCTCCAATTCCACTGGTTTCGTTGTGTTAGATGTGCGAGTAAGTTAAATGATTAATTACGTTATTTACCGCCTTTGATCATTTCAAATAAGATCAACACCATTTAGACATGGTAGTGCAGAAAGTAAGCCAGTTTTGTGGCTGTTCACTTGCTTCTATTCAACTTTACCATCGGATCTTTTTTAAAATAAAATAGGACCGTTTACTTATCCACTCTGTACCAATCTTACTATACTGCGATTTTAGGAGATTACATAGGGTGGAAACCTTGTTATATTGTTTTTTTCCGTGCCTTTTAGAAGAATAGAATCATTGCTTTGAATGCATGACGTTTAGTTTAATAGGCTATTTGTCTAGCAAAATGAAGAGATCGGTGTACAGTAACTCAAGCTCTTGTGTTGGTTAAATAGTGAGATGATGTCTCTCAGGTGTTGTGAAAGTGAGTCCGGGTCACAGCAGTGTGGACTTTGAAATGGCGGAAGGTGGAAAACGCTTGGATATGGTGAATATTCTTGCGGACGATGGCAGCCTCCATGCTGTGTGCGGTGAGTTCGCAGGCCTTCCGCGCTTCGAAGCTCGCACGGTAGTGGCACAGCGTTTGGCCGCAATGGGTCTCTATCGTGGACGTTTTGGCATCGGAGAGGCCACTGAATTCCTCGCTCCTGTCTCTCCTATAAGTTTGCCTGTCTGCTCACGCTCTGGTGACATCATTGAACCGCTACTCCGAGAACAGTGGTTCATCGCTACCACCGTCATGGCCAATGCTGCCTATGAGGCAAGCATCTCTTACCGTTAGTCTTTGTGGACTACGAGTATTTACCAGGACTACTTTGTTATTAGGCTAACGTGAGTGGCTCGTTGCGCATCTCACCACCCTGTCACGAGGCCACGTGGCGTGAATGGTTAGCACTGGGTCGACAGCGTGATTGGTGCATCAGCCGGCAAGTGTGGTGGGGCCACCGCATTCCGGCTTACCGCATACCAGAGGAACACAGGCCGCAGGTTCATGTCATATCACTGTGTTTTCTCACGCCCATTTCCTATTTATTAATTGTAAACTGAATTTATACTTTGCGTTGTTTCAGTCGAATGATTCAGTTTCCACGACTTCCAATTGGATCATCGCCCGCGACCACGACGAGGCTCGTAAATTGATCGCTGAACGGTGTAACTGTAGTATTGGTGATGTTCCTGTCAATTTAGAGCAAGGTAATCTATTTGGACTGATTGGTTGCCATTTGACTTGATTAAATGTTCGTCACTTATTTCCTGCTGTGAAGAAACTGATGTACAAATTTGTTTTCTCGTACCATTTCTCTACCCTGTGCGTGAATAATGCTTATGTTGATTTTACTGGGTATAGTGAAGACTTCATAGTCCAGAAGCATATGGCACTTGAGAGCTTTTTGCCTAAGTAAATTATTACTACATCACTATTTCCCCCTTGCCCTCAAAAATCAATTCTCTACAGACACGGATGTTCTGGACACCTGGTTCAGTTCTGCTCTTCTCCCCTTTTCTGCTTTTGGATGGCCGCAGGAGGTATGTTCAACTAGTTGAATCCGAGCTCCATCAACAGGATATCTGTTGGTGTTTCGCTAATCCTACCTAGAGGTCTTAATCGTTTATTTCACTGTTAAAAGTCTTGGTGCCTGATCATCTACTTTGTTCTTTAAAGGGCCCTGAATTAATTAGAAACTACCCCCTGGATGTGATGGAAACGGGGCAAGATATTCTCTTTTTTTGGGTCGCAAGGATGGCCATGCTCGGGATCCATCTAACTGGTCAACTTCCGTTTAAGCATGTTCGTTTAATCTCACCTCACTGCATCTCTAAGGTTTTTTGTGATTCACTTGTTGCTTTAAGTACTTCATCAAAGAGCGCGCTCCAGCAAAGTCAGCGCAGTCACGTTCTGTCGTAAATGGTCATTGCTTTATTTTGACAGTTATATTCAATATGTGCATTCATATTTTCTGGGCACATTCTAGGAGGATGATGGACCCGTAAAATTGAAAGAGTAGGCTTTTGAAAATGTCACTTGGAATCTAAATATTGAAGTGTGTGCAAATTACATGTTCCATGCATCAGAGCAATACCTATAAGCACTTAACCACTACTTACTGTTTCACCGAATGGCAAGTGTCAATATTTTTGCATTACCTGTCGGTGAAAATGAGTTGCCAGTGCAAAAGTTGATGTTTGCCAAATTTCACGATTCCACATTTAATCGATTCGTTTTTGGTCAGTCAGGTCCTTCTCCACGGTCTAATTTGCGATGCCAATGGCCAGAAGATGTCCAAAAGCAAAGGCAACACAATCGATCCCCTCAACTTGATTGACGGTGTCGGAAACCTTAAACCTGTACGTTTACACACTGACTGTGTGACAATGTATCTTCGCATTATTCATTAGTCCTTGGTTCCACTAAAGTATTGAATTGCTAGTGAAACACCCCATCTTATCTATCTGGTTCTTCCATATTACCCCGACGAGTTGAAAAATTTTGAATTTACCTTCTTTAGTGTCGTTAAATAGCCATTTTCGTTCAGTGATAACTTATACAGTCTATCATCAACCGTCACATGCTGGCACATAGTTGGTTCAAGGAGATGGTAGGCGTTGATTCCTTTACAGTCAGGAAGGGAATATTCAGCCATGCGAATGTGCTTTACCATACCCATGCTGTGGATCAACTGCTTTCCTTGCTTGCTTGATTGATATCGCAAGTTCTTCGCGCAGCACCAGCTTGGTAGGGGCGATGGAAGTGATAGTGTTGAGGGCATACGGAATCTGGGAGCCGACGCAGTGCGAGCCTCCCTGTTGGCTACCGATTTCACGCGCTCCACAATCGTCTACACAGAGGAGGGCGCTCTCGACTTTAGGCGCTTTGGCAATAAGGTGCGTCTCTCATATCTCAGCCTGTCCTCCCTTTTCGCTCTCCTTCTTCCCCTTTTGACTCCTTCACTTCAGGTGTGGCAAAGTATGCGCTTCCTTACCTCCGAAATGACACGCACTGGTCTATCAATCGACCTAGAGAGGCACTCCATTGACCTAATGTGGGACAAGCTCCTCACTCAGAAGGTCAGCTAATCGATTTCGGTTTCTTTCAGAGCCAATTGGTCTGATTCCACTAAGCATTTTCGTACTGTTGACAAAGGCAACTGAAGTTCCTCTTCTCGACAAATGGATACTGCAGCGTGTGGCACATCTAGCGCGGCGGTTCAACACGTCTTTTGAAAATCTCTGCTCTGGACGAAGTCGTGATCAGGCGTTGCACAATTGTATTGCCGATTTACGTCTATGGTGGACCGAGGATCTCTGTTCAGTCTACCTCGAAGTTGTTAAACATCGTCTCCGCATCAGTGTGTCTTATATTATCTTTCATTTAGATCAACTTTACGCACCTTAAAGGCCTACATTTTTACTAATTTCACATGATTAAACAGCAGAAAGGACCACATTCTTTAGTTAAGACGAGTAAATTGTAAAGGTAATCGAGATTGGGCGAAGGTATTGATGCCGTTAACATGAGAGCGTGATACGCGAAAAATAAATTGAAAGTGTAAGAGACGAATACAGGACGCTTGATTGTATCGGTCTACTTAATGTACTTGAAATTCTCGTTGACATTTCTGCAGGAACTGCTGCTATACGTTAACAAATAGCTCAGGACACTGGCGTGTCTATTAACCACATCATTATATCCAAACGTTCTAACTATGCCTACTTACACACACATTTTGATGACAATTTACTGTAGGTTACATTTTCACATACCTTAGATGGTGGTGATAAGGAAAACCTGGATACCTTGGTCACCTGTTTTTTATGCGGTCTCCGCCTCCTGCATCCTATAATGCCTCATCTCTCTGAGGTGCTCTGTCAGTTGCTTCTCAACGATGGTCACTCTCTTCTTCTTCACCAGTTTCCGAGGGTGTGTTCTCGCTCTCCAGGCAAAAAGTTTTTTTTTACAGATAGATCCTCATTAACTTAATTTTTGCAAACAGTAGAAAATAGGTGTTGGTAACTACAACGGGCTGACCTCCAACCAACTTACACACGTCCTATCTCCTTTCAAAGGTGTGGCGTGTAAACGATAGTCACCTCAAGTTTGGCATTTTAACATCAATTCACATATTCACAAGAATAAACACGTGAGCTGCGATGTTGTAACTTTCACAGGCGACTTCTACATTGACATCAGGCGACATAGATTTTGTCTCCGACGCCATCGCCGCAGTATCACGTCTTAAATCATGGCGGGTGCTGTTGGGTCTTGGGAAGGCCCATACCAACACCATAGGTGTGTCTGGTCAGTCCGCCAACGAACAACATGAGGCTGTCATCATGGAGCTCTGCTCTGCACTTTCTGGTCTAAGGCGCATCGACGTGGTCTCCACTTCACTCATCAGCATTCCCTGCGGAGCTGGTATCTCGCTAAGTTTTGAACCAAAGGTTCGATTTACGTACAGGTTTTTGAGCTAAGACTTAACAGCCAGTCAAGCAAGTGTAGAGTGATTCAGCCGCATCTTAGTAGTTTTATTCCTGCAAAAGTGGCCTAGTATGCGCATATTGGAATGGTTAGGATTAGTTATTCATGTAATGAGAAGTGAAGCCCGAATAATTTGTTTAAATGCCTTTTAGGGTGTCAACTTCAAGACGGCTGCGGAAACCCTCAAGTGTCGCCTTTCTAAGCTGAGTAGGAAAGCTGAGATTCTCAGCTTAAAAAAACAGACAAAAGCATATTCCGAAAATGGTGAACTTTCACATTCTGAAGCATCGAAGGTGCATGTCACATGGGCTCTCACTTGATGCACCCTCTTTTTTTGTAGAATCCTTTATCTTGTTGGGCTGGTCCGTTAATTTTCAGCATCTTTTGTCGCCATGACCTTTTATTCTCGTGAAAATAGGAATCGTTAATGTATTATGCATGAATTTGGGCAAATATTTGTGGACAGCTTTAACTTGTGCTTGTGTCTTTTTTCCTTTTTATTCTAGCTTATACTTCTGGAAAGGCGGATTTCTGCTTTGAACTCACAGCTTAAAATCTTATTGGATTGCAGAAATTCGGACGGCTAATTTTCTGCCTTTGTACACAAACCCAGTGGACTATGATCTTAATAAAATTTGAGTTGTTTAATGTTGCTGAACCACAATGTATCTGTGAACACTAGTACTTTGCAGAAAGGGGTTTCGTTTCTGGCACTCTGAGTGCAATGTGGGTACATTTTTCTGCCCTGAGGTGATCACTATGTTCGGTCATTTATTGGTTTTGAATACCCCAACCTTAGCTTTTCGACAAACTGTTTTATCTTGGCATCAAGATTTGATTTCCTCTTCCCCCATATGTTGATGCTGACCAACCGATTTGCAGGCATTGGGGTAAATTAATGTAGGTAATACGAAGCAAACATGAGTTGAATGAAAATATACACTTGAGCTATATGTTTTCGGCGCAACTTAATCCTGACTGAGTTTCTGAGATGTGCGCATAAACTACAATAGGTTCCTCCCTCACCTGCCTAAATTCGATACAAGCTCAAGGCTACCGAGCTGTTAGGCAGTTCCTTGTTTTTCCAACTGAGACAAGCGTCATTTCATAAAATCATATCGTTTTAGTCCTATTCTCCCTGTCCGGGACCGTACACTTCCGCTACTCCGTTACGGGGATACTGTAGTTTCCAAATTCACTTAATTGGGGCTTTGCATGCATGCAATTACAAATTGTACTCCAACTTTGATTCCTTACAGTTGGAGAGCGCGTGGTTCCATGTTAGGGATCACCGGACGGTGAAATGAAATTGGGCGAGATTACATCCGAACAGATCGCACTGCATTTAGAATTACAGTAGTTTGGTTCTAGGGCTATATGAAAGCTGCGAGCGGTGGCGAGAAAGGGAACGTCCATCTTTCTCGAATGGGAGTGTACATCCGTATTTACGGTGGGGGGGGAGGGGCTGAGGAGTTGGTTTGATAGATTGAAGGATGCTTAAGTATAGAAGTGTCACAGAGATTACCGATTTTGGTGTCAAAAATCGCATTTAACAGATGTGGTAATTTTGTTGGAAGTTCTGCATTGAAGATCTACTTAAATCACACCCCATCAGGGTAGGTATATGCATCTTTGTCTTTAGTGAACGCCTAGTGCGATTGATGCTTGATTAGTAAACTCGTGGGAATTCTTTGGCTGGCTGAGAGGAAGTAGTTTAAAACGAGCAGGAATTTTTACAACCTATTCGCCAAGCGACCTAAGTGACCCCAAAATGGAAATATTACCACTTTTTTGGCCACCCTGAGCCATAGTCCGATTCTTCCACTTGCCAACATTGCTTCCGGTGGGAGTTATTGGGTAGCTCCTGTGGTGGAAAACCTAATTTGCGTCCCGTTTAAGCCACGAGGCCATTCAAGCCTCAGAGAAGAATGAGTTCTGATTCTCTTAACGCCAGCCAGCACCCAGCAAGTCACAAGCAGGTTTGTCATCTGATCTGAGTTAATCCAGAGTATTAACCTCGCCTCTCATTACCCACACGTCTTCATTGCTTCTTTTGTACGATCAACCGGTCTACGTGGAAATTAATCAACTCCGTTCATTCTCCAATCTCAAACCCCCAGCAAACCACTCACTTTGACAGGATATTTAATTCCCTTCCCACTCTCCATGATATAATTCCACCTGTTTATGGCAGGGGCAGAGTTGTCAGTGTCGTTATCATTGATGGCAAAAAATATGGCTTCTAATGTCTCGCTAACACACGCGTTATGTGAATTTAAAATAAGACAAGGTCGAGAGCGCCTCCCCGAATTATTGCTTTTATTACTCTCAAACCCACGTGTGCTCATACTGAGCTACTAAAACAGGGAGTTCAGAGAAAGATTAATCCTTAACAATATTTCGGCTTGGCGCAGAGTTTCCATGCGGTAAAATTGCTCCCATGTGCTACCTTGATGCTATTTGCCTTCGCGTATAAAACATACTAACTTTAGCTTTCACTGGCTGAGATGCACCCACCACGCAAAATAGACAGATATCTGGTTCAGGTCAACTTCAGACAATCATAATTGCTTTGTTTAGGAAATCACAGCAATCGTGTGGATAATCAGCCCTTATTGATGTCGAAATCACCCCACCTCCCCTCTGAATTTTAGTTCGAACTCCACAGGATTTCTACACCCAGAAAAGTATAAAATTGTTATTTGCAGAACGATTGACACTCATATCTTTGCATTATTTCTAGTGGAAACAATACATGTGAGGCGTGAAAGAAAGTGCTACAAGGAACGATTCTACCTTCACATACCCCCATCACCCTTGAAAATAAGGCGCAGTTAAAAATCACTGAGATGAGGCCATCCAGATTACTTAAAGTACGTCGTTCTGGTGAATTATCCCGTGCCATCACTCTGACTGTTTGCAGCCAAGACACCCATTTAAGCACATAAAACAGGAGCGCCACTGACGACTGCTCATGTTTATTTTCATATTTTCTTTGAACAACCTATCGTAAATAACTTGTAGTGAGTAAATCAGGCAACACCAAATATTTATTTATTGATGAGATTTAACACTTCTGCGGTGATGTGCTCTCTTCAAGCGACAGCATTACTATGCTACCTCTCAAACAGCCTATGCTTATGCTAGCCTCTTGCGCTTATGCCTCAGCCTACGCAACCATCTACCAATCAGATATTCATTAACGCAGGTTACTTTATTAAGACGACTGAATCACCGACTGTTGCACAAGTTAATTCCAACCGTGACTGAAACGCCGCTGCATAAATCCACATCAAAGTCAAAATTTACACTCCCAATTACAGTGAGATATCCAAATGATGTTTTCTATGCGAACACTATCAGACGCAGGGTCGACAGGCGCGAGTGTCTCAAACGTCTGCAAGCGCAAAAACGAAATCCGTATTGAAAAAACTGCTTCTGTGGCAGTCAAAAAACATGCCAAATATTTATAGTAAGCCCTAGTAATTTGAAGACCTGTGCGCTACGTGGACAGAACAAGCTAGAATACCAGTATCTTTCAACACCATTTAGCAAAAGTTGTTCACTGCATCAGACCAAAACACAACCGCAAAGGAAACAATGTGGGTTATTCGTTAAGCACTTATATACACAAAAACATACTTCAGATGAGGAGATAAGTGCTATTCACTAGCTTTCCCACTCTCGCCTTTCAATGTTCGCCAGACCTTGATCACCTCGTCGCGATGTTTCAAAACCACCTTTTTTCCTTCCAATCCATAGTACCTGAAAAGGAAGAGTACCCATACTTCAAGATCAAAATCATCCGCTCAAAACAGCACAACTTTTATAGAAATTCTTATACCAAGTTCTGTTGCAGGGTTGAAGCATAAAAAAGGCGTATACGAGCATGAGGTGAAAAAAATCCGAAATTGAGTTGACAGCTTCTGCTATGCTAGAATTTGTCACTGTGACACACCGGCGATCGAACCCACAAAGTATGATTCATCTCACCCGGTCAATGAAATGGGATTCGACAGGGAACGAGTAAATGCAAGCTTACTGGCTAAAAACGAATTCCACCAAGTGCCAAGTACAGTCAAACGCAATAACCAGTATTAGTGTGGTGGGTTATTATGTTAAAGCAAAGAAAAGAAATGAATGGCCATACATGCCGAAGAGAAGGCCACCAAGATGAGCTGCGTGGTCGATGGGTGAGCGACGAGCAAGAAAAGTAGCACCACAGGCCTCGAAGGCGACAATGACCCAGCAGGCAGAACCCGCAGAAAAGGCGTGAGGAATCACGTTCACTACCAGCGGTAAACAGAGCATCGCGTGTGGCTCCAGCATGCAGAATGCGCCCAACACAGCGCACACTGCCCCGCTGGCCCCAATCGAAGGGACTCGCGAGCCTCGCGCCACCTTTGCCAACGCACTTAGGAAGGAAGCAAATATCCCTATTTAAAAAGATAAATTAAAAACAACCATCATTGTCTATATCCTTGGCAGAAGCCATGGAGAAATTTCATCTAGTTTCTATACAATTCGACCGCCCAGAATTTACGTAGGAGGTTCGTAATACTTTCAGGATGTACTGCCATTTCCAGAAACAGGGATTACAAACAGCAATAACCTCCTGCTACTACTTGAAATGTTTGTAATACCCCGCCCAAAGCTTAACAAGTTTAAACTATCGTGATCATATAGAGCATGAAATCAGGGCGACATACTTTATGCAATGAAAATGATTGGCGAAAAAGCTGACGTACCGCCGCTAAGGAAAACAGCGAAGTATTGTTCCATTCCGAGAACTCGTACGAGAGGTTGCGTAAAGTTATTAAGGACGTACATGTTTAAAAACATGTGAAAGAACATCTGGTGAGAGAATATTGAGAGGAACATGGACATTGCTGGCCAGGCTGTTAAAAATCAAGACTTCGAAAAAGAATTTTTAGAAATGAGAAGAGCTAATATGTACCATTACTCACGTCCATAAGGGGAATTCGCAAAGTAGCGAAGGAATGTGGGTCCATAATGGCGACTATTGTTGCAGATGAAGATAATGAAATTTGCAAGAGCAATGGCTAAACGGAGTAGCAAAATAGTGGTCATCTGTTAATTTCTAGGAAAATTCAAGATGCTTACCCCAAAAAATATCGGAGGGCTTCGGAGGCCTCCCGACGATCGTTGTGAAAAAATCCCGTAGCTGCGGAGAAGATGAGATCAGCGACAGAAAATTGGTGTCGACATTGTTTAGGTAGTACTTACGGTTTTTTTGAAACCATCCCGATGTTTTGAAATCCGAGCCCTCCAATTCTCATAACTCCAAATCATAGACCCAACAAAAATAGTGTTTATGGAGACAAAGGTGAAGAGGCCACATTGAATGAATGTCTGCTTAAATGTGCGGGTACCACATCCAAGGAAAACAGAAGGCCGACCAATGGAAGACGACTTTGGCTGTGCAGACCCCTTTGGACGCTGATAAACAGGCTTACAATAGATCGGTATCCGACCACGTGCATCCCGCAATCGACTAAATACAGACCGACCGAGGGAAAAATGGCGGCAAATACCTGCGAGGCAAGATCATGAAAAGGATAAAAACCTACTAGCTTTCCCTATTTTATTACTTTACTTGAGCGTACCAAGGAGCCTACCAGAAGAGTGAGTAAGCGCCCGTGCAGTTAATAAAACTACTAGCATAAAAGCAGAATGGTATCCTCAAAAATAGAATCTTATCGTGCGTTCCTCAACTCTTAGCACATAGACACTAGCAAAAATGATAAAAAATAAGACATATAGGCGAAACATAGTGGTAACGATTTCGCCACCTGGTCCCAAATAGCGTGATGAAAAGAGTACGACCCCCCAACTCATCCAGAGCGTCCCCCGCGCCGATAACATGAGCCGTTTCGTCTTAAGCGCAGTAAGCCGATGTAAAAAAACAAAAGAGGTTGCCGCTTTTAGTCAAAAACTAGGTACTACATTATTCAGGAGACCGAAATGCATTTGATGGTAATATACTGAAGGGTGCTATGGGGATGACAAGTAAGACGGAGTGTAAAATTCTTTGGAATGATGCTCACAAGAACCATTGTAAAACGCGTTATAAGTTTGACTTACGTCTGTTGCTCTTTTGCGCAGTTTTATACATAATCTTATGTTTTTTACGTAAGCCAATTTTTGGCTCTATCAATAAGTGAATGTCCTTTCGTATGTCGAAAATTGGTACATGCTATGCAAGCACTTCTTTGCTTCGATACTTTAAAAAGACTGTATTGTCATTGCAGTGGGAATTCTTTCAAAGCGAATTTGGACCGAAGCAGTGTAGTTACTGCCTGTCTACCCTCTGGTCCCTGGTTCTCAGACCTTAAGAGGAAGTTGGTTGTAGGCGATTTATTAGGCATCGCTATAGGGAGGATGGGGAATAAGATACAGATGCGGTGAGTAGGAGATATCAATTGCAGGAAGGCTCCTTGCCGACCTCGTGCACGTGATCCACGTTCCCAATTGCTTTCCGCCTCTCACCTATAAAAGTCCACTTAAACAAGCTAGATTATATTACAAGCAGAGATAAATTTATATAAAATTGAAAAAATATAAGTTCAACGTCGCGAGACTTCCGCCGCGTAAAAGAAGGCATTAAGTGGAGCTGAATACATGTATTCCAGGGAGGGCAAAGGGACTAGACCCGGATTTTACCCAATTACCAGCCTGTAATACTTTGTGATCACATGACGTTTGGTGATCACTTTAGGATTGATCTGATCCTTGTAAACGTAGGCTGGCCTTCGGGCCATGTCCAGGCCCATTCTCCCCGTCGTCTTCGGAATACATATATCAAACTGCACTTACTGACTTCCCATATCGGCTAGGAAGTCTCGAGACACTACACAGCCAATACGTGCAAGGCCAGACTAATCTTCAGGCTACCGCCAGACATCAGCTGGTCACATAAACAAAGTATTACAGTACGATCTCATTGTAGCGTTCCGAGATTTCCCACTCATTTGAAAAAAGGCATCAAGTTAGGCCAAGAAGCAGAAGTAGAACTTCAGTTTTGACTTGAATCAAAGCTCAGCCCACATAAACAAGACCGCGATTATTACAGTAATGACCCCTGCGCACATACTACTTCCTTAAGATTGGAGGAGCCACAATAATGGCCGAGCGCCATGTACCCAATTAAAGTAAATGGCTAAAGGCGCCACGTGTCGACCTTCAGAAGTGACGACTATTGCTCAACTTTCAAGCTTTGATATCAAAAGTTCCCTTCGTCTGAACGTTACGGTGGGGCTGTTTTTGGAACAAAAAGACTTACAAGACGACTATATCAGTCACCAAATTTACACAAAACCGGAGAGGCATTAGGCTGCAAAATAATTTCTGGGATCCTTTTTCTAAAAATGTGAAAATCAAAACACTCTCAAAACAATTTGCAGAACTTTAATTTCGGTGTAGCGTCCTAAGACTTTTCACTGGTTAGAAGGTAGTAAGTTGGGTTTAATGCATGCATATTAAGAAGGGACACTGGAATTGGGCCTTTGCATGGCCTGAAGGCTGGCCCACGCATACAAGGACAGGACGAATACCGAAGTAGCCTTCATATGTCAGATTGTCACCAAAATGTTGCGCCACTCCCCTCTCCTTTTGAGTGACGCCCTTGGCGCTCCTCCTCGCCAGGCATCACAACATATTCAGTGCTATAAGGAAAGACTCGCGAGTCATGGGTCATCCATGTAGTGAGGAGGCTTGGAACGTTACACCAATGACAGCAGAAAGCAACCCCAACCTTGTTACTATTTTTAATCTGCGTTCACTGTATTCTCCAAAGCTCTCACAACAGAAGGATTGGTAATGATGTCTGTGTTTGACTCTACCCTCTTTTAAACTGAAATATGCTTGATCCTAATTTGCCTATTCCACATCTCTTTTCGAGCAGGGCACCAAAGTTTTGTTCAAAGCTCAATTGATTATCAACGAAATTTTTTTCTTTTTTATTCCCGCTCTCAGAAGAAACGTAACTCCAAATTCAGTTGGAGCTGCTAAGAAGGCCAAGTTGGCGACGTTGACTCATGGGTGTTTCTTCGCAGCACCGGATATGCCGCCTTAACCAACGCTGGACGTGTACAGAAGGAGGTGCAAGGGACGTACTTCGAAATGAGAGGAGCAAGTTAACATGATGTTTCTGTGACCGCCTGTATGTCTGGCGACTGCTCTGGTATTTGTCTTGCCATCAGGTCAGACTGAAATCCAAACTCTCCTTTCTCCCTGAATACGTGAATTTAGTCCTACATGATACTTCCTTTTTATCTACTAAGCAGTTTCAGGTAGCTAAAATGTCGAAATGAAATGCTGCTAGCTGTAGAGAGGCAGTAGAGGTGCAGATTTTTGACTACATATGCATATTCCTATAGGTGGTCTAGAGAGCTTGGTAAATAAATGTTCAAAATTATTCGCTTTAGCATCCTGTGATACATCCTTTAAAGTAGACAGTATGAGGCTTTAAAAAATACATAATACCGTCAAAGGGAGAGGTGTTGGTAGATTGTGGCATGGCCAACATCAGTCCATCCGGCATAGATAATACAGCCAACTCACTAACTGCATTTTAAGCCGACACTTAACTAAATAAAACACTGCCCACGACCATATTCAAATAGCTTCCCCGAAGAAGACGGAAACAGCATAGCTGTCAAAATTCTACATATAATTAAGCTTATCTTTACGAAATCAACCACTTCTGCAAATTCGCTGAGCCCACCCTTTTTACAATCGCTCAGATTAACAGTTCAGTAAAAGGGATTGAGTTGCATTAATCTTTTATGACTTGATTCGCTTTAGACATACCTTAAAGTCAAATGAAGATCACGCTAAGGCAGATAATACATCTGTTGTGTATGTAGGGATTGAGGTGTGACGGCCACTGCTAGGTCTGTCCCTTGTAGTCAAATGAGGTAAAAGGGAGGATGCAATGCATGTAAGTGCTTTTGAATGTCGGTCGGAGGAGGGCATCAGTTCATACGTTGTGCTAACAGAGAGAAAGGTCTCTTGGGCATGTACCTAGATTAAATGTTTCGCTCGCACTTGTACTGTGCCCCACGTTGCACTTCCCATAGCTAAGCGCAACGATTCGTCACAAAGACGGCAGATAATTAAGGATCTTACAAAGAAGGAAAGGAAATGGGTACCTTGGCACTTAAAGACTTCCCACTTGGTAAAAGAAGGCAGAGAACCAACTAATTACTTGTAGTTGGACAGGATGGATGAATCTGAGGCTATGGAATGGCTTGAAGAACAGTTCATTAGGGAGAAATAACATAATCGGCAAATCGACCGCAACTAAACAGGCAGTCGAGTTAACAGGATCTTACAATGATGATCATCTAACGAAAGATGTTTCGGCGAAATGAGTTTAAAGAGCATTTGTTGTGATGCTTTGTTTATGTGACTATCTGACATTTGGCGGTCACTCTAGGATTTGTCTAACTCTTGTGCATGCGGGCTGGCTCAAGCTCAGTTGCTTTACCCTATTTAAAGTACATTTATCCAGCTTCACTTAATACCTTCTTCTACCGGGTAGGAAGCCCCGGGAGGCTACATTTGCAGCTGCCGGTTTATGAGCGGGGCTTGCTCAATGTGCAGACTATTTTCAGCGAATGCATTTTTTATCCCAGAGGCTGATTCTGCGAAAAAATTGATTATATTTAGATTTGTACGATACCAAATTGTCTGTTTTTAAGTTCTAGAGCGCTGCTAAGTCTGTCACAAGATGGCCATGGTGTTATGTCTGGATATTAGTGATATAATTTTCATTTTAATCTTATTGACAATACTTGTGGTTGCATTCGAGACCCCTTATATTCTGCTTAGCATAAAAAATTCCTTTCCTTTTTACACCACCTACTCTTATCTACATATTTCGGATACAAAAATGTTTGAATTCATCAATTGTTCTGAGGCCGATTTGGTGTTTCGTAACTTGTGGCATGAACCAGCTTAGAAAACTAGCTCCTGTTGGTGGTGGCGGTCTTCTGGGCCTTGTTGGGCTAGGTCTTCTTGGATACGGAGTGCAACAATCACTTTATACAGGTAATTCTTAGTCGACTTCACCAACATATATCTAGTTGATGGAGGTCACCGCGGTATTATGTTTAGTCGCATTGGCGGTGTAAAACCCGACATTTACGCTGAAGGGCTTCATTTTCGGTATCTTTTTCCTTTATAATGATGGATTTCTTTTAGTGTTCCTTGGTTCCAATATCCTATTATTTATGATATTCGCTCCAAACCAAGAAAAATTACTTCGCCCACTGGAAGCAAAGGTATTCCTTGGTCTCGCTGCCGATGCTGTCTTAACTATTAGCTGTTTAGTGGTCGTTTTGTGCAGATACTGAGACTTTCTTGTTAGGTTTGGGTGGTTTGTTTTGTGGTCGGAATATCAGTCGCGTATTTGCGTAGACTAAACCGACCTCTATTCGATTATGCAGTCAGGAATAAGGTGGTACCCACTGCGACTTTTGGCAGATCTTTTCTCAACCACGAATTTCCATTAACCTCATTTCAGACTTACAAACAATAAATATTACTGTCCGCGTGCTCTCTCGCCCAGAGGTCTCTAGTCTGCCCGAACTTTATCGTACTCTTGGCACTGATTATGATGAGCGAGTTCTTCCTTCGATTGTCAACGAGGTGCTAAAAGCAGTTGTGGCCAAGTTCAATGCAAGTCAACTCATTACGCAACGCCAGCAGGTGTCGTTGCTCATTCGCAAACAACTCATTGATCGCGCTCGTGATTTTCACATCGTTGTTGACGACGTTTCCATTACCGATCTTACCTTTTCTCAAGTCTACGCGTCAGCTGTCGAGGCGAAACAAGTACATTAATCTCCATTCTCCTTAAAAATTTGTGCATGCTGTCTTCACTGGTCTTTGTCTGGTCTCTTTAGATTGCTCAACAAGAGGCTCAGAGAGCTCAGTTTTTGGTCGAACGGGCCAAGCAGGAGCGTCAGCAAAAAATTGTAATGGCTGATGGTGAAGCACAAGCGGCTAAGCTCATTGGTGACGCCTTACAGGCAAATCCTGGCTATCTTAAACTGAGGAAGATCAAGGCGGCTGCAAACATTGCTAGAACGGTAATCTTACCTGGATCTTTTGTTCTCTCACATGAGTGGTCCTGGAGTTTACGCATTTATTTATTTTAGATTTCGCAGTCGTCCAACCGTGCATTTCTCAATTCAAATACGTTGCTCCTCAATCTATCTGATCCCCAGTTTGATGCCAGCGTCGATAAAGTCATTAAACGGCGATAGACAGTTGTTTATTGCTACTTTAAAATTCTAAAATGTCGCTCTACGCCATCGTTGTACTGTATTTGCCAGTCTTTTTCCTCTATTTTTCGGTATAGTAAACGATGCATTTTTTGGGTCTGTTGTTCTTTATAATTGAGTTGGTTGGACTTAGTCCATACTATTTCCCCTGCTTAAGTGGATACTAAGGCGTCTCGCCTTGAGGAAGCTGAACTTGTTTAACGAGCCGTTCCCCTTATGGGGAAACGGGCTTGGTCCACGCATTGTGGGGATGTGGTGCAGGCTGGTGCTCTTCCTCCTACAGGAGTCAACTCAAAGTAGTCGGTTATGCAGGTAGCGTAATGAGTTGGTTGGCAGGTGAAGACTGGTGGTTCACCTCTGAATAGGTTTGCATTCTCGGGGAGTGCGTGGTGAGCAGTTTTTTCTAACTTTGGGCGTGAATTCTGTGTCTCGGAGAGCGCTCAACTAACGACATTTAGTAATCTTTTCTACCTGCATATTCGGAATTTTTTTGCAGTTATTCTAAGTACAGGATCTGTGTTTGTTGCCTCTCACAACGAGTAAGGAATTTGAGGCAATTTATTAGTTGCCTGATAAAGCAAGAAGAAATTAGGTATCAGTCAGTAAGACAGAAAGAGGGCCCTCATGAAAAACTATGTACATTTTATCACCTCACATTTCGCTCAATCAGGTAACAACAGCTTTACGATACAAGTAAGAATGAGGTGATTCTTTTCTTTGCCAGTACCTCAATGGACGATGTGCATTATAATTATATTCCGACTTCCAAAATTCTATTGGAGTCTTTGGAAACCTGCGAATTGATGGTTTGTGGAAAAGAATGTGCACGTCACTCCCTCAGCCGAGGAGAATGGCAAAGGTTGCGCAAACTACCAACTTTTCTCCCTTAACCACGTAGGTGTATAAGTTATTTTCTCAAAACTGCATTACAGTTTGGCTTTGAGTAAAGTCTTTCATGCATCTTTTGCTCCTCTTCATGGCTCCAGTGGCTGGAAATACGCGGCGGCCGAGAGCGGAAGCGCTTCATTGTCCAGAGCTTCTGTGGAGGCTGTTGCGATGGCAGCTGCGCTACAGCGTTCGCCGATTTTAGAGTGTCGTAAGGCTGCGGCGATTTATTTTGCGCGATGGCCATGCCTGTCAAGTATGCTCTGTTGTTTCTAAAGCAAATTCAATAACAAAGAAATCACTAGAAAAAAAATAGACACTTTATTACCGACTTGAGGTTAGGAAAGCGGAGAGACTTCCACTTTTAATCAACAAAGCAAAAGTAGATTCCCACAGTACGTGATTTTCAGCTCGGTTTACAAGAAGATTACCAGTTCAGTGGGGTATTCGAAATGTTTAGCTCAAATTAATTTTTAGCATTGCCAACTAATATTTGGTAGTTAACGCAAAGGAATGCAATTCACATATACTTTGAACTAAACTCCACAATGAGACTATTGTGTTTGCATTACACGGTATCATCGCAGTTCTCCAGAAGACTAGTTATTTTGACAACGTTACTGAATTGTATCATAACGTACTCGATTGCAATTCGATCAAACTCCCGTTTATAGTAATGGGAAAGCAAACAGCCTATTGGTGTAGATGGACGTGTTGGTCTGCCAAATGTCATATCCAGGGGGAAGGCAGGTTTTTTCTGTTGGATAACAGATTTGACTGGTCTCCGGTGGAAGTCCTTTTCTTTTCGGAACCGGAACCACTCAGGTACCTTGTGGATTCCCACCTTGACGCTCTCGACATTTGTTTTGTGATAGTCTACGCCGTAGATATTGGAGTCCTCGACGGCTCTGTGAGTACACCAGTTGAGGCACTTGGCCATCCCGTCCGGATCCCTCTCTGACCTCTTGCCGTATACAAAGCATTCCGGGGGTAGCGATCGACCGCGCGTATAGTGCCGACCCAGAGGAGCTCTGATGAGAGTCTCCCGAGTAACCATGGAGTTCCGCAAGCAGCCCATCTGACCCGGGGCCAAGCACTCGGCCTTGAGTAACAATCCTAGGCTCACAAACCGCTCCGGCATCTTGCAACTCCACTAGGAGATGTTTTAAAAACTAAGCGTACGCTGGTGTCATCAGACGGTCGATAATCTGAGATATCCACGTGAATATGAGTGGACCTATAGCAAACGTCTCGACAGCCACTTGACTGCTCGAGGTTTTAGTAAAATCCAATTCCGACCGTATTCTTGAGCATCATACTTTTTAACAAACAGATCCATCAAATCTTCATACTGCAATTCATCTGTTTCTGTTCATCAAAAGAACACAAACTTGGACTCTTTGACCATTCATTTAGGTGTGTCCATGGTGGTGAGTTTCAATAACCGCGAATGCACCAGGTACATGTGAAAATTCTGACCCAACATTTGAAATGCCTCCGAAAAGAAAGATGCAACAAACCATTCTCGAACCCTGCGGTACTCACTAGTGAGTAATTAAAAGTCTGTCAACTGCATCCAGGATCGCCTATGGCCTTACGATGAGATTCTCTGCAAGCCTTTTGTAACAAAAACCGAAGGCAATGCAACTACGCACACCATCATGCGTCCATTTACCAGCTTTCCTTTGGTTTGCCACAAACCAAAGGAAAAAGGATCCCTGTGTGAAGCAGCATATTACAACATCCACTCAAGTGGTATCAAACGATGCGCAACTAATCGTGAAATGGTAATATTTTTAATACATGAAATTGACGCAGTGAACTTGTGAATCGAGAGTGCATAACCATCTAAAGATGAGCAGAGATTCTCATATCACTTCTTCAATGGGAATGAACCGAATTTTCTTATTACGAACCTGAAATATTAAACGATACCGACCTATGTTGTTCCGAATAAAATAACGTTTGCCACAACTGTGCGCCACATTGTGTTGGCACGATATCTCTATCGAGGACCAGGGCTGCTTCTTCAATGGCTTTGTCGTCTCCTGCCCCTTCAGAATGCTTTAACTCCAAAGGACCACCGCGCAAAGGACCCTTCCACAGAGAAGAGCACAAGTGACCAGCGACATGAATGCACTTTCATGCTGTTCAAAATCAATCATGAGCACCCATTTTAATGCCGGCAAAGGTCGCACAAATCTTACTTGAATGATTCAGTTGCTGATTTTTGAGTCGCCCTACGTAATTTATGCATATGTTTTCATTTGTCTGATTTGGCATTAAGTTATTGTGAAGGCATAAAACCTCAGAAAAATGGAGCAATTAGGGCAGGCATATACTACAAGATTGACTATTTTGCAATTTGTAGAATAGAAAATAAATTACCACAATACGTGTATCCTCTCAATATTTACCGTGGCAATTTGCGTTTGTAGTCCTCGGGCGATGCGTGTTTATGTGCCCTGTGGATATCACCAAAGGCGACATACAATCTAAAGTAAATAGAGGAATTAAATGGTACGTTTTGAAATGTAGGATGCAGAGTCAACGTTGAAACTGGGGAAAAACCCAAATAAAATAAACCAATATTGATTAGCCAGGGCTCAAACTATAATTTAAGATAAATATATGCTAGAAAAATTGTATTTTGATCATATCTAAATAAAGCTAGCCAATCGTACGGAAATCAAGTGAAAACGAGTGCTTCTTTACGTAATGCTCTGTGCATGCAAACATCTGATTTCTGGTGATCACTTTTTGTAGCGTCCCGAGAATTCTTACAGGGTAGAAGAAGTTAGCAAGTGAAGCTAAATATAGGTATTCCAAGGAGGACAAGGTATCTGGATCTGAGCATGGCCCAAAGACCATCCCACGCTAACAATGACCAGACGAGCACCAAAGTAACCACCAGACATCAGATAGTCGCATAAACAAAGTATTAAAATGCCACTCTTCTTTTGAACGACGTCCTTGGCATTCCCCTTTGGTACAACTCCCGTGTCAGCCATCACAACATATTCTGTACTGCATGAAAGCACCCACGAGCCAACCGCATGAGTCGAAAGATAACATCAGTTTCCCATACAAAATCCGTGTTTAGGTGTCGGAAATGGCACCATGGTTCTCCTTACATGCGGGACAGTGGCTCATCCTGTTTCCCCTGTAACATATCTGTTTGAGACCAGAGTTCCACCGTCTATTCCTGGAAGCAATCAATGGTCAACAGGTGCATGCGGTCCCGAATCTGGTTGTCAGACAGAACGTAACTCCAGATGCAGTTGAAGCTGCCGAGGAGAACAGGTACGGTGCCTCAGTCTGATGTTATCTGTCGACTGGTACGGTTGGCTCGTGGGTGCTTTCATGTAGTACCGAATGTGTTGTGATGGCTGGCGCGGGAGGCATACCAAGGGGAGTGCCGATGACGCTGCCTTAAAAGAAGAGAGGGGCAGCGAAATACTTTGTTTCTGTGACCACATGACGCTTGACGGTCACTTTAGGGTTTGTCTGGCCCTTGTACACGTCGGGCT